CTGTGAGCTCGTCCACCGATCTCAGCATCAAAAAAAAAAAAAAAAAAAAACATATTTGCGGTAGGCAGCGGCTTGGCTCTGCCCTTGGCATTGCTGAAGTCCATGGGCGACGGTAACCACTCACCATCAGGTGGGCCGTATGCTCGTCTGCCTACAAAGGCAATAAAAAAAAAAATGCTGTTGCGGACTTTTTTTTTAGATCTTGTAAAGGATCTTGAAAAAATCAATTCTGTCATACATTATTTTAGCGAAACTTTAACCGTTTCTGCAGCGCACGCAGCGGAAGCTCTCAAAAGGCAAAAAAAACTCCGATTTTGAAATATTCTTTATTGGTGCTCCGCTTATATTGGTCTTAGCGTGATGTTATATATACCTATAGCCTTCCTCAATAAATGGGCTATCTAACACTGAAAGAATTTCTCCAGTCGGACCAGTAGTTCCTGAGATTAGCGCGTTCAAACAAACAAACTCTTCAGCTTTTTATTATTAGTATAGATGAGGGGTTTAAATATTTCCACAGAAAGTATTTATTTATTTGACAGCTTGCTAAGGAACGAGCGGCAGAATTAAAACGCAAAGCGGAAGAGAAGGATCCCGGAGTCAGACCTAAAAAAGCGACACAACCCCTTAAAGTGTTCAGGGAAGGTGTCGGTAAATACTTGAACTTGCAAGAGTCTACAACGAAACCAGGAAAAGACCAGGAAATTCCAACAAAAAAACCCAAAAAAGATGTCACTAGTTTTGGTAATTTTGATACCTGGTAATAACAAAGTGCTTATTGTTAATATTGTAAATAAATGGATTATGATAAACATATCTTTTATTTATCCAACAAATTAGAGGAATCGATATCATTCGGGTTAGCGTGTCAGAGTCAAATTTAACAAGTAGGTATCATAAGTGGGCTGACTCTATTACAGTGTATGTAATCTTATGTGGTTACCGGAGTTGTAACAAGAGGTGATAAACACGCGCTGCTCACCAGTGTGCTTAGTGCGAGTTTTTTAACGCTTTCGATAGCGTAAAAGTTAATTCATATTTGTATTGCAGTTGGAACAGCGCCCCTAGCGGCAAACGTAGGCAAACGTTCCAACTCCATACAAAATTGAGTTAACTTTTACGCTATCGAGAACTCTCACTAAACAAACTGTTAATTTTATGTTAAGATCATATTTTGATTAGTACAATAATTTTTCATGCTCGGCAGCACCATTATAAGCGTAACCCACTGAGTTTCTCGCCGGATCTTTTCAGTGGGTCGCGTTTCCGATCCGGTGGTAGATTCTGCGAAGCACTGCTCTTGCTAGGGCCAGTGTTAGCAACACTCCGGTTTGAGCCCCGTGAACTCACCTATATGTTAGGGCGAAGCTGAAATAGCCTCTCAAGGCTATCAGCATAGGTATGGAAAAAAATAATAAAAAAAATTAAGAGTAAGCAAACGATAGTACATAACTGAGCGATAAATTCAAGTTTGATTACGAGTAGAAGTATTTTAAATTACTATTACTGGTGGTAGGACCTCTTGTGAGTTCGGACGGGTAGGTACCACCACCCCGCCTATTTCCGCCGTGAAGCAGTAATGCGTTTCGGTTCGAAGCGTGGGGTAGCCGTTGTAACTATACTGAGACCTTAGAACTTATATATAACTATATCTCGAGGTGGGTGGCGCATTTACATTGTAGATGTCTATGGGCTCCAGTAACCACTTAACACCAGGTGGGCTGGGAGCTCGTCCATCTATCTTAAGCAATAAAAAAAAACTAATACTTTTAATTCTTACATGAATGTTCTGTGCTATTATGTGGAAAAAGCTACTACTCAACCTTAAGTATAATTTCTATGAACTCAGCTAATTAAATAGAACACATGAGAAGGCTTTGTTCTATAGACGAATATACTATGAATTGAAATTATTCGAATTCAATCTATTGATGACAGATTGTCACATCCTCTTCAAAGAAGACTTTATGACAGCGCTGCAATTTGAAGGAGTATCTCTGCCACCCTCCGAACCAATTGTTATTGTTGAGGTTGATATTTTGAGTGGTCTTCTGTATCAGAGTCATTGGAAGATAAAACCAAGCTCACTGCCAAAATGATGAAAGTCCTCTACAAAGCGATGCAGTACTTCACATCTAGACAAAGGTTTATACTTTAAAAAGCGCCAGTTCAGTGTAGCATGGAGTACTGCTCTTAGGTGTGCTCTCAAATGCCAGTTATTTCCATTTGACTGCATACTGAAGTCGTCGTGGCCTAAAGGATAAGTCGTCCGGTGCATTCGTTGTTGCGATGCACCGGTGTTCGAATCCCGCAGGCGGGTACCAATTTTTCTAATGAAATACGTACTTAACAAATGTTCACGATTGACTTCCACGGTGAAGGAATAACATCGCGTAATAAAAGTCAAAAACCCGCAAAATTATAATTTGCGTAATCACTGGTGGTAGGACCTCTTGTGAGTCCGCACGGGTAGGTACCACCGCCCTGCCTATTTCTGCCGTGAAGCAGTAATGCGTTTCGGTTTGAAGGGTGGGGTAGCCGCTGTAACTATACTGAGACCTTAGAACTTATATCTCAAGATGGGTGGCGCATTTACGTTGTANAATTTGCGTAATCACTGGTGGTAGGACCTCTTGTGAGTCCGCACGGGTAGGTACCACCGCCCTGCCTATTTCTGCCGTGAAGCAGTAATGCGTTTCGGTTTGAAGGGTGGGGTAGCCGCTGTAACTATACTGAGACCTTAGAACTTATATCTCAAGATGGGTGGCGCATTTACGTTGTAGATGTCTATGGGCTCCAGTAGCCACTTGACACCAGGTGGGCTGTGAGCTCGTCCACCCATCTAAGCAATAAAAAAATAAAAAAAATACTGATGAAGGTAATTCAGATTGTCAACAGTTCTATTATTACCAATAATATTTGAGCTTTCGGTCTACAGATGGCCTTCAGTTCTGTACCACATGTTCCACGGGGAGTGCTCTGAGTAATTAACATGCCCCACTATTACACACCACAACACCATTCACCACATAACTTTTTAATATATTGATAAGTAAGGAATTTGTAAATCGTTGTGGCTTAAAGGATAAGACGTCAGGTGCATTTGCATGTAGCGATGCATCAGTGTTTGAATCCTACCAGCAGACGCCAATAAAATAGGTACTTAACAAATGTTCACGATTGACTTCCACAGTGAAGTAATAGCATTGTGTAATAAGAATCAAACCTGCAAAATTATAATTTACATAATCACTGGTGGTAAGATGTCTTGTAAGTCTGCACAGGTAGGTACCACCACCCTGCCTGTTGTTACTGTCAAGCATTAATGCATTTCGGTTTGTATGATGGGGCAGCTGTTATACTGTTAAAAGTGAGACGTAAATGTCTACAGGCTCCAGTAGCCACATAAAACAAGGTGGGCCGAGAGCTCATCCATAAATCTAAGTAATAATTTACTCATGGTAGAAATAGACAGAATAGTGGTAATTAACAAGGTGCAGTTACAATCTGTTTGTACATCTATTCAGTTTGAGTCATAAATACTTTCTTTTCTTTAATTGTTCTGTCGAGGGCACTTCTATGATTATTGAGGTTGACTACATTTGTAGAAATCACAATTGTTGACAATAAATCTGGTACAGCCTCAATTATATTTTAATATTAACTTAAAAACTAAATTAAGTACATACAATAAACATTCATAACATGTGCAAAAACTTATAATACATCTACAATACATTCATTTCGTTTATTTAAGTATTTTAATTAGTAATTAATTGTTAAGTATTTTAAATATGTGTAAATAAAAGGAAATTTCTTTAAAACACAGTTTAGATTTAAATAGAAGAAAACTTTATAATTAAATTCACACTAACAAAGTTTTCATTTAATATATAAATAAATAGCAGATTGAATATTTTTCAATACTTGAATAGTTCCCAATTTTTAATAGCCATGGTCTCCAACTGCCAACTGATTGGGTGTAAAAGTAATATAGGTTTTTATAAAATTAAATAAAGTTTTACAATGCCTTAAAGATTATCAAAGTTCCTCATTAAAACATAGGATAAAAATAACAGGTACATTAATACACTTTGTTTGATAAATGACTGCAAAGCCGGTGAAAAATTTTAGTTGTAGTTTTGGCGTCGCCGTGCAGTTCTTTGTTTGTCGAATCTCATCTCCATTTCCTCCAAGACCTTTGGTGTGTACCTGACAACTAATTTTACGGATCCCACGGCTTGCTTCAGAAGTTCTACGGCTTTCTCGTGATTCTCGCCTTCAACTGAGACTCCGTTAACGGATAAAAGTTGATCACCCCTCTTCAAGCCACCATGTCTGTCAGCAACTCCGCCCGGTATTATCCTAGATATATAAATCGGAGAGTTTTGTTCTTTTCCGCCCATTACGTTGAACCCTAAGCCTTCCTCAGTTTTCGGCAGTTCCACTACTCGAGGGTGAGCGTGTCCTTCTGCAGCAGCAAATGCGGCCACCGTTGCCTTTGCAGTTGCGGAAGCTCTTATGTCTGCGGAGCCTTGTATGTCTACAGTCTCGTAGACGTGCTCGTAAACCTCTCTTACGGCGTTTAGAAAGTCGCTCTGCAAAACCTTCTGGAGAGCAGCTAATTTCGTTGCAGGGACTTCGCCACTCTGTTGCAGTTTCTCGAGTAATTCAATGGCACGTTTTATATCCCTAGCTAACGTTAACTGTTCGCCAGTGGTAGTCATTTTGAACACTTTTTGAAACTAAAGTAGTATACACAAAATTGTGAGTATAAATTAACACGAAATATACTTTTAGAGAATAATAAATTTATGTAGAAATCAGTGATTCAGTGACTAAATCAAATCAATTGAATTCAAAGAGTAAAATATAGATGATACACTTAAAAAAATAAGAAGAGTACTAGGTATCTATGGTGTTAAGAAATAAAAGGATTGGACTATATTTTTAAGTGTGTAGGATATTTCTGGGGATTGGATTGTATGTTCAAAAAATCTGTACAATAACGGACAGAAATTATCACTGAGATACACAAATAAGAGAATGACTGACGATAACTAGGTATCTGTTATACTTGATGAACATATGCCTTCCACAAAACACATCACTGCACTTACCCAGACAGCCAAGATTAAACGGTTTTCAACTTTTATAATTTTTTAATTGTATAGACAGGTGAAAGAACTCACGACCAACTTGTTTTCAAGTGGGTACCGAATTCCTCCGCAGGATGTTAGTACTATCCGAGATTGGAAAGTAGGCTTACTCTTCATCTCAAACAATTCTGTTTAACTGCCAGGGAAATAGGAATATGAGAGAGTTAACAATAAAGTCACTTTTACTCAAATTAGTTTGTGAAGTTTTGGACTTGAATCACATCAAGTGTTCCACGATAAGTTTAAAAAGTCAAATTCATCATATAATTACTACTGATGCTCCATCAGTGTCCGCTCATGAAACCTGGCACCCTCTAACTTATTGCAGCCCAACCATCGGTTTTCTTTTCCTTTCCTTTACCTATAAAATTGGATAAAACTAAAACAGAACATGAAACGGAAAAATGTCAAAATGTCAGTTGTCAATTATATAGCGACTAAGAATTTTATTATTTACAATTCAATAAAAACATGTTTGATTCGTCTATCCACGAACAGTATTAACAAGTAATTTCTTGCTCATTTATACATATTTAGCTGTGCAACTGTGCCATTTGTTATTTGTGTTAGTGTAGTGAAAAACTTAATCTTAAGTCTGAAGAAAATATGGATGACCTAGGTGAGTTCATGTTATCATAACCTGTTTGTGTACTCCAAATTGAATGCCCTATGACGTGTTCTCCTAAAAATAACTTTGAATTTGCATTTGATTCCTTGCCGAATCTTCTAGTGAATTTACATGGTACATTATTATATACTTGACATGTTTACTTTCGCTTGATAAAGTTTATCACTGTCATTTGGGTCATAAGTTAATTATTTAATTGATAATGCTTAAAGTTTCTTCGGTAATTCAAGGTTTTAGAATGTATAAGCTCTAAGTAAATTATTCCTCCTGATTATGATTGCTTTCCTAAACAACAATTGGTGTCAAGTGACGAAACAGCTGATGAGTTTTATTGAAATCATTAAAGATACGTAGGTACCTGCTATACCTAGTTTTGGAATTAACTTATGAAAACAGTGTTTCATAAGTATTAAGACACTTTCTTTTTTTAAACAATCTTTTTACATAGAGCTGTTACTAAAACTGCTGCTGTACATTATTGACAATAATCACTATTGACAATGATCATCTATTAAGTCATGTGCCTTCGTTTTAAATCAATGAAAACAAGGCTTAATTGAGATTCAGAATGTGTAAATAAAATAGCTCGTACAGCTTTGTATATCCTATTGAATTCTGACATTATGAATTCTGGTTAAAATAATGGAAAAGTGATTATTTCAATGCAAGTGAGACTTACAAATAGTTTTAAAAGGTGGTTACACACTATGAATTCAAGTCATTCATTTCCATCAATTGCAATTTAAGGTTAACTTTCCATCAATGCTATTGTGGCTTGGCTCTGCCCCTGGTATTGCTTATGTCCATCACCATCTTCGTGGTACGTATACATCGTTCTACAAGAGCAATAAAAAAAATATAAAAGAGAATTTTGATAGGTTAAATTCTACCTTAAACACCATAATACAACTAAGGAACTTGTGAGGTGTGTTGCCTGAGGTTGAGTCATCAACCTGCATGTTGTAATTTCATGTACATATATAAATGCCTTACAATGTATGCTGATGTAAATTTGATCAAAATATTTTGAATAATGTATTAGTAGATTTGATTTTGTATGAAAGAATCTGCTTCACTTGGCTGGCTTGTGATTGTGTGCTTAAAGTACTGTTGGAACAGTGAATAGTAGATTTTGGAGTCGTTATGGCTTAAAGAATAAAACTGCTGGTATACCTAAGGTGAGCGATGTGACTATGCCAATGCTCAAATCCCTCAGGCAGGTACTGTTTGTTTTAATAAAATACTAAGCACATGCTTATGAATGACTTCCATCATGATGAAGGAATAAAATTGTGTAATAATAATATAACTTGCAAAAAATTTTAATTTCTGTAAAACCATACAATTAAGACATAGGCAATCTTGAATCAAGTCTCAAGGGTTGAGGCTGGGTGTGGTAAAGGCTCTATCATAAACCAGATTGAGAGGAATTTCACCCATATATACATATAAAAAACCTACTAATTAAATATAAAATTGAAACCTGCCATTAAAGTAAAACATTTATCAGTCTGTCTAACTTATAAAGCTAGTCCATTTTTCAAAAACATTCAGTTACTTTTTTTGGGTATGTATCTAATTTTAAAGATATTATGAAAAGATTATTTTGTCACATGTTGCATCTACTGTTTTTGCAAACTTGCCTGTCAAGTCTTATTAGCTTCAAGCTCATTTCTCTGTGAATTCTGTCTTTGTGGAGTCAGAACAATTTCTGTTGACAGCTATAAGTCTTAACTAAGGGTTCTCAAAGCGGTTGGTCTCTTTCCCAGGGGTCAATATGAATGAAAACTGATTTATGTTGATATAACTATTTCATTTAATAATCCTTTAAATTTTTAAACCAATTACATACTAAGTATTTGAAAGTAATTTCTACCAATAAATATTAATTATACCTTTTTCTTTATCGTTTCTAATTATTACAATACTGCAATTTAGTATACAGAAAGATAGTTATTTTTTATATTGTTTTTATTTTATTTCGATTATAATAATATTGCTGCATCTCTGCTAGTGCAGTGGTAATTTTTCATTACCTTTCTTGAAGAAGTCAGGTATATCAGATATTATATATTATATGGGAGCCAACAAACTCTTTTTTTTTCTTACCTAATCTAGTAACCTCGAGGGGCTATGCTAGATTCGCAGAACGAATAGGTGAACTCATGGGGCTCTAACCTGTTGACGTTGCTAACACTGGCCCTAGCAAGAACAGAGCTTCGCAGAATCTACCATCGGATCGGGAACGCGACCCACTGAGAAGATGACTCTTCAAAGTAGAAGTCTGTTATTGCAAGGTCTAATGCGGTGAATAACACAAACCTTCCAACCCTAGCTCTGGTAGCTCAGAAGCCCTCTGTTGTGCCGTGTGAGGTCGAGTGTTGTCGTTTAGGAGCGGGGGGGTCAAGCGATTAACCAAGATTGGTCGTAGATTCGCAAGGTTTTCCACTCTGTCTAGTTCCTCACGGGACACACTGTAGTAATGCTGATACCATATGATAAGAAGCTCTTTTTTCCTCCTACCTATGCTGATAGCCTTAAGAGGCTATTTCAGCTTCACCCTAACGTGTAGGTAAGCTCACGTGTAGGTAAGCTCAAACCGAAAGTGTCGCTAACACTGGTCCTAGCAAGAGCAGTGCTTCGCGGAATGTACCACCGAATCGGAAACGCGACCCACTGAGAAGATCCGGCGAGAAACTCAGTGGGCTTTGTCTATTTACTAATTTAATTTACTCGTCAAGCCCTCGATTCGGCGAATGCTTGAGATGCTTAAAAGCACCGTTAATGGATAGGAAGAATCCGTAATGACGTGAAGAAGCTCTGATGAATTACATTGGCACTAGACAACCAAACGGTAACCATGACTTTTTAATAGGTAAGTTTGAGGTTTAGTTTGAGGGGTGAGATTGTGCATCTATGCAATATAATGAAAACGAGAGAGAGAGAGAGAGGTTTGAATTTTTGAAATACTCGTATAATAAATACATAGCACATGTCAATGAATAATTTCCTTGATGAAAAAAAAAGTTGTATAATTGAGATTTACTTGGTGTCTCAAGTTGGTGGCGGCGTTCATGTTTTGAGGTCTATGAGTTCCTGTAATCGCTTAAAACCAGGACAGTCCATGGGTCGTTCATCTGTCTATCCAATCAATTAAAAAACTCGTTGCTATAATGGATATCGTAAGCTTCATATCGGAACGTTTTTAGGATGAAAGGATTACTGATGGACCCGGAGATCTTTCTAGTATCACCAGAACAGGGCAGGAACGTGTCACTCTCTCTATTGATATTAACATTGATAAAACTCCTATCATTTTTGTTCATTAATCGTGGAAGTTGTTCGTGAACATAGCGTCATCTTAAAATTGTTTAATGCCCGAGGTTTGAACTACCACTGACTGATACAGACGTGGTCTTATCACAGTTTTTTTTTATTGCTTAGATGGGTGCTCGGATGAGCTCACAGCCACAGTTAAGTGGTTACTGGATCCCATAGACACTTACAATGTAAATGCGCCACCCACCTTGAGATATAAGTTCTAAGATCTCAGTATAGTTACAACGGCCGCCCTACCCTTCAAACCGAAACGCATTACTGCTTCAGGGCAGAAATAGGCAGGGCGCTGGTACCTACCCGCGCGGACTCACAAGAGGTCCTACCACCAGTCAAACGTACGTTTCAAATTTTTTAACGTTGTAGTCATGAGTAATGTTGTCCATGACTGGTCTATACTCGTAGGTAAGATCACAATACATACTTTCGATGTTTTGTGGTCGCATTACAAAAAAACGCTTTAAGTAAACAAGGCAATACTCATTATAAAAAGCTCTGTCTTGGTGTCCGCGATGTTGACAAAGCTAATCACTTAATAGCTTCAATAATGGCTCGAGGTGTGTATTCGACCTTGTATTGGATCATCAATCACTCAGTCGCAAGGGGGGTCCATGATACGATAGTAATTCTACAGTTTTAATGTCGTTAGTGTTGTCATTAAATATTTGCACATCATCATACCGGAACGTCTGCTGAAATTGGGGCCTAATGGATTAGGAGTATAATGTAGATTAAATTAG